ACATTAAAAATTTGTCTCCGAAATTTTTCTGGTAAATAGGGGCGATTTTTTCCTGTAGATATGTCACAGGCGATGACTTCAGTAGAACCCGGAACCTTGATATTTGAAAATTTTAAATTCTTGTTATTACGAAGTCGTAATAATTCTTGGTCATCATGCTGACATCTTGCTAAATCAGCATAATTAATCGGTGATGGCACATCAATTTGTTCTATCCGTGACAATGCGTCTGCTACAATATTGTCACGTCCTTCTATATGTTGAATGTTGGTACAATATTGTGAAATAAAATCCAGTTGTCGTATTCGCCGTGGCGTATCATTAGATGACGGTTTTTGGGAAAATGCGTAAGTCAAAGGTCGATGATCTGTAAAGATAGTAAATTCTCTTCCTTCGACTAACCTTTGAAAATGTTTGACTGCCATATATATTCCGAGCAACTCTCTGTCGAATGTCGAGTATTTTTGTTGAGTATCACTTAATTTCTTTGAAAAGAATCCTAATGGTTCCCAATTACGTCCTGACTTCTGCTGCAGAACTGCGCCAACACAGGTCGAACTGGCGTCCGTCATAAGTGCCAAAGGGGCGGTGCGAGAGGGGTGAACTGTTAATACTGCGTTCATTATATTTTCCTTGCATTTATCAAAAGCTTTTTCGGCCTCTGTTGTCCAAGAAATTGGAGAATTATCATTCTTTTTAGAGTCGTGCAGGTAGTTGTTTAAGATAGTTTGATATTCAGCGGCATGAGGGAGATTGTTTCTGTAAAAGTTGATCATTCCTAAAAATCTTCTTAGCTCCTTGATTGTCGTAGGTTTAGGAAATTCCATAATTGCTTTGTACTTTTCCTCCGTTGGTCGTATTCCTCGACGTGTTGTATGATAACCCAGAAAATCTATTTCACTCTTAAGAAAGTCACATTTTTCGAGATTAATTGTTAATCCATTTTCATGTAAACGTTTGAAAACCGTATCCAAATGTTGATAATGTAGAGCCTCGTTTTCAGATGCTATAAGACAATCGTCGACGAATATGAATACGAAATCCAAATCCCTGAATAGCGAGTCCATGAATCGTTGGAATGTTTGCGCCGCATTACGTAAACCGAAAGGCATTTTTGGAAATTCGAAAAGTCCAAAAGGAGTGATAATAGCAGTTTTTTCCACATTTTCTACAGGAATGCAGTGGTACGCCTTTCGAATATCAATTTTGGAAAAGATTTGCTTCCCTTCTAGTATGTAAGTGAAATCAGTTAGTCGTGGAAGTGGATATTTGTCCGGTACAGTCACGCTATTGAGCATTCTATAATCTCCACATGGTCTCCATTCACCGTTCTTTTTCTTAACCATGTGCAAAGGACTAGCCCATGGGCTGTCCGAAGGGCGACAAATGCCAAGCTCCATCATAGTCTGAAATTCTTTCTTTGCTATATGATATTTATCAGGAGGTAATGGTCTTGCACGTGCTGATACCGGTGGTCCTTTAGTGATAATATGATGCTTAATCTTGTGTTTTGGAGTAGTGTGGAAGGAGGCTGGTTTCGTAATATCCTCGTATTCATTTAATAGTTGAGTAATGCGTGGATTCGTCTCAATGTTAATAGTGCGGATTGTTTGCTGCGTCGATTTGATCAGGGTTGCGGGCGTTGTCAGCTCAGTTACCCTATCTATGAGTTTTCGACCAGCTATATCGACTAATAGCTTATAATGCTCTAAAAAATCTGCTCCAATAATCGGTTGTGTTACATCGGCGATGACAAAGTTCCATACAAAGTTTCTTCGTAGCCCGAAGTTTAAAGAGAGTGTTTTTTCACCATATGTCTTAATTTTTGTACCATTGGCGGCATAAAGTATACATTGTTCATCTTGTATTAGTGAATGTCTCTGTGGCTTGCTAATAACTGAAATATTTGCTCCCGTGTCAATCAAAAATCTCATACCACTTTTTCGGTCGGTAATAGTGAGGCGGTTGGACGGGTGAATAGCACAGAGTTCCGCCGTTGTCCGTGCTTCAATTAGTTTCCCTGTTTCCTTGAGTTGAGATCCTGTTTCCAATCACAAGGTTGAACACACTTTTGTGCATATTTTTTAAATCTTCCATGGTAAAAACAAAAGTGCCTTCTTTCTCTTGAACTCGACTGTGGTAGGAAATGCCGACGATTGGAATAACTTTGAGTGCTGCGTCGATAGTTTTTTTGACCTTGCTGAATTGCATTTAGTTCCAATTGCATTTCTGCTAACTGTGCTAGTATGCATGACATTGTATCGTCGCCAGATTTGTTTCCGTTTACAGCTGACACCTCTGTACGTGTTGAATTTATTAATATCTTGTCCGCGATCTGGCTCATCTTGTTCACATCTATGTCTTCTGTGACTGCTAGAACCGAAGTCACTGATGGTGGCAGAAGCCTCAACCATAGAAGTTTGATGGTTTCGTCGCTGATATTTCCGTTACTCAGGGTCCGCATCTTGCGCAGAAGATGTGATGGTTTCTGGTCGCCGAGATCCATTTCAGACAATAATTTTTGGAGCTAACGTTGGTCTGATTCCTCATAGCAACTGATTAGGCGTTCTTTGATAGCCTTGTACTTTTCTATTGGCGGTGGGCAAGTAATGAGGTCACTAACCTGTATTATTTCTTCTTTTGGCAGTTTTGCAATGACCGTATAGTACTTGTAATCGTCTCCTTGCTTCTGTGGTGCTACTATGGCTTCTAGTTGCTTAAACCATAATCTGGGTTGGTCCCTCCAAAATTCCGGAATACGGGATAAAATGGCGGTTCCGGCTGATATCTCCAAGGCTTCTTGTTGGCTGCTGCTTGATTTGCAGGGTGAATGAGTCATGTTGATTGTTCTTCGTCGGGGTCACCAATTTGCCAGACTTCGTGGCAAGGTAAATAAAGAGACTGTAGATGGTTAAGGTCTGTTTATTACTTTAATTGCTGGTGCTTATATACTAAGAAGATGCGTGAGATTTTCAGATTTAGCTATCCTAACAAACGTGCAACAATTAACATGTATGTCTTATCTCTATCGTATCTAAGTAATGTAGCGACGTGATAGTGCCGCTACAAATCACATAGTTTTGATTAATTTAATGATTTTACTGATAAAATGATAAGATAACATATTGGCTTGTTTTTTTTCTATTAATTTACTTCGTGGTTGCCAAAACGTGTGATAAAGATAAGGAGCTGAGTCTGACTTTTACTTTTATGTCATTTACTTGTAGAGTTATTGTTTTTTTTTTAATATCACACAAAAATGACAAAAGAGAATGGTAAGTAAGAATTCATCCAAGAACTTCTATTTTATCTATGTACCTACTTTCATTTTTAACCGACTTCCAAAATGGAGGATGGTTCTCAATTCGACCTTATATATGCTTTTTTTTATGTTTGTACGCCGATATCTCCGTTATTTATATACATCTTCAATAACATGAAAATCGGCCAAATGCAAGTTGGTTTTTGTTTTGAGGGGGTGTCATCGATCCCTTTTCTCCGTCCTGGGAATGACAAGTAACGAAGTCTCCTCGTTCCTCCTGCTCCAGGTCGGGTTGCAGCTCATTATTCTGTTCTGTTTTTAGAAAAAACGTTGCCCCAAATTAGAATTTTCTCCTGTGTCGTGGATACGTTTACAAACATACAATTTCACATGTACATCATACCCAGACCCGGAACAACAATATGTGGATCACACAAAGAGTTGTTCCGTGCGGGAATCGAACCCGCGACAAGTTGCGCGGCAGCCAGTTGCCCAGCCACCGCGCCAGTCGTACAGTTTATTAAAACAGACCAATTAATTTTGATGCGGGTTCTTTAATAGATAAAGTGATTGAATGTTTATATGCACAATAGGTACCATCCATTAAATAGTGGAGAAATTTAGTATCAGTATTACAGTAAATCAATAAATATGAAAATCTTCAAAACAGCTGAACCTTTTCCTCCAAACCTTTTTTTGTTGTATTTGTTATTGTCAGGAGATGGCTTGACTGGACTTGGCCGGCACGAGGTAATGCTCAACTTATCATCAAATATCAAATGACCAGTCAATTAAAAATTATGTTGATAAATAATCGCCAATATCTCAATTTAGATTAGCAATTAATTTTTGTTATGAAGAAGATAAGGCAAAGATTATACGTTTGAAATTTTGTGTACTAGCGAAATAGACGGGTCTTACTTATGCTGAAAGTAACTAAAATAGATCTATGAAATCCCAACTAAACTATCTACTTTTACACTTACGATACACGTCCTATCATTCTTGCCCTCCTCTAATCCCTCCCTAATCCTTAAATTTTTCTATAATCCCCAAACGGGCGGCATCGTACTCGCAACTCAACAAATTTTTATTTCTTTCTAAATGAAACAGAAAACAAAAACAATTTATAAAAAAAATATTTTTCGAATTATGACGTACCTACCTACTCGTTATTCACGAATGCCCAAAAAAGGGTCGACATGTCCCGGTTCTATTTACATTTGTTTAATAATAATATTTATTGAGAATTTAATAATCAAACTACTTACTCAGTTTTATTCACCTTTCGAAAAACTCAGTTTTAGTTTTAAAAAAATTTGACAGTGTGAAGCATTTGAGGCTGTTTTATCAACATCATAGTGTTTACTGCTGAGCAAAGGCCTCTTGTTACACGGAGAAAGTTTGAGCATTGACCAGGCTTGCTCAACTTGGATTGGCGATTTTATAACTTACAATTAGAAATTATTATAAGCCCAGGTTTCCTCACGGTGATTCTCCTTCATCGCCGATCAATGGTACTAAAAAAGTCACATTGCCACTCGAAAAAAGTCACATTGTTGCTTATCAGATTTCCCTTATGCATGAGAAGCGGGTGTCTAAACCTCCAGGCGACAACAATATTGTAAACAAAGGATCAATCATAAAAAATACTAGAAAAGTTAGGCACTACTATTTATCATGCATCAGTGATTGTACTCAACAACATTAGAATAATACTATAGATAAGATCGGATTTATAAAGGAACTATACTGGACAATATCACTGATAGTATAGTTTTTAATTAGCAATATGTCGGGTCTCGGTGCGTACCTGTTTGTGATTTTAGCGCTAAGCCATTTTGTGTCTTGTGAAAGTAAGTTAAAATTTATTTCATTTTGTTTTATTTTGATATGGTAGTTAAGGGTCAGAATTGTTTTTAATTATTTATTTATTTAAATATTTAATAATACATTCTTCATCATATAGATGTATACCAATGAAAGTAAAACATTATAATATGGATGTAGTTTGTACATTCTATGGCAGTCAAGAATTTATTTTGGTGTAGAATGATTTCAAGCTAAATTATCAACTGTAAAGAACAAAATATGCTAAAGGAAAGCCCATTGGCTTCTTAAGAAGCATATTTAAATAACGTCTTTAAAGGACTACCAATAACTTCTGTAATAACTCCTTTTTAAAACTGCCGTGTAAAGAACGAACTTCATTCCGCTAATACCTCAAAGAGCCATTAGATCACCATACATACTGAATGAATATTGGGCTGATGTCCAACCGGAGTTGCGGGTACAAGCGATATAATAAACCTTGGCCCCGGCTTGGAGCAAGAGAAGGAACGGTGGTTTTAAGTCAGTTTTAATCTGGAAATCCCTCTCGCCCACATAGAGCAGAACAAGTCATTTGTTTAAATACCCACCTCAAATTAAACAGGTTACTACCACCGTATGCTCGGGTCTGGTTCTGGTCGGGCGGCAAGCTACCCTTACTTGCCGTCCGCAGACCCGCGCTTACGGTGGCCGGGCGCCAGAGGTCACCGGCACCAATTCAACAATCACTAAAATGGTTATCGAACCCCTGCGACATCGACGCCCATTATTTAATCGGCCTTGAAAATTAATTCTGAAACCAAATTCGCAGAAGCAGTCATATGTTACTACGGAACTTGGGCCACGTATAGAGATGGCCTTGGCAAATTCGACGTAGCAAACATAGACCCACACCTTTGCACTCATCTGATCTACGCGTTCGCTGGTATTGATGAAGAAGGAACACTGCAGTCTTTAGATCCTTATTTAGATCTACCTGATGATGACGGACGAGGTAAATAAAAAACCCTATGTCTTCAAATTAAGTGTGGGAGAGCCATGCTTCGGCACGTATAAGTCGGCTCGACCGGAGTGATACCACGGCCTCACAGAAAACCGGCGTGAAACAACCACAACGTTGTGTTTCGCCGTGTGAGTGAGGTTACCGGAGGCCCAATCCTTGCCCTACCCCAATCCCTTCCCAATCCCTAAATCCCCAAAATCCCAATCCATAAGGTCGGCAACGCACTCGTAACTCCTTCTTTGCTGCGGGTGTCCATGGGCGACGCCGATTGCTTACCATCAGGTAATCCGTCTGCTCGTTTGCCGACCTATCACATAAAAAAAAATGCCGTAATATCGAAATAAAAAAAACTTTAGCTTTGAGGAACTCATAATGATCTATATACTTGACTAGCTAATCCTGCACTGCTCGGCTTCTATTGGTCGTATCGTGATGTTTTTTGTCTTATAGCCTTTCTCGATAAATGATTTATCCAAGTCAAAACTTCGAAATTCGAACCAGCAGTTTCGGATATAAATTCTTTCGATCAAATTATAATTATCAAATAATCTCTTCAGCTTTATAAAATTTGTATAAATAGTTTGACACACGACAAAACATTCGTTTAATAAGCTAAGATAGTAATTTCTGAGTTTTATAATAATATTTATAATCAACAACTAATCTTGATGAAAAACTATTTTACTATCATCACAATAATTTGAACTATCTAAATAAAAAAAAAACAATTTTGACCACTATGCTTAGCACAGAAAATACTTGGTTTCAATTTACAAGTTACAACACCCTTCAATTTTCAGATAACTTTGGCAAATTCAACGCTTTAAAAGAGAAAAATTCAAGTTTGAAAACACTTCTGGCCGTCGGTGGATGGAATGAAGGGTCCGCTAAGTACTCCACAGTAAGTTTACTCTTCTAATAACGACTTAAGTTTAAGTTTTGATCAGGTTTCCTTGACGTGGTCAGGGCAATTTTTTAAAGTAACCAACTTAGTGTTGCTAACTTTATTTTACTTTGAAACTTATTGCTTCGTTATTTTTGTACTTGGAACACGGTTGTGAAGTGTTAGGTATTGTGTTCGACGCTTTAGTATGGTGATAATTTTTACATTTTGTGGTTTGCTCGGGTAATATTTTTATCTTGGCATTGTACTGTTTGCCTACATGCAGATTATAGGAATATTAGTAGGTATTGTTCGCTATACTCGATATGCTGCTCCTCAGCAGTCATTCGTCCAGCTTACTCTGTGTCATCATTATTCTACCATCATCAGCATCAGGCTGCGCAAGAACACCTTACAGAACAAAAGCCGCTTCTCATACGGAGAAGATTTGACACTAATACAGCATTTAAAACCACGCTTGCTCAAAGCGGTTTAATTATTTCAAACTTGTAATTAGTAATTACAAGCCCAGGTTTTCTTACCATCTGTCTGTGTCTAAATAAACTTAGAACATTGCTTGACAAGTTTTGTTTCCACTCCCTTATGCATGAAAAGACGGTGCCTAAACCTCCGAGCCACCACGACATCCGTTACGTAACAATTGGATGAAAAAAGAAACAGGAATATCATCATATACACTTTACATTTCAGATGGCAGCCAGTCCAACGCTTAGAAAGAACTTCATAGACAGTGCCTTGAACATGATCACAAAACACGGCTTCGATGGTCTAGACATAGACTGGGAGTACCCCAACCGAAGAGACACAGTTCATGGTGAAGCAGACATTGACAACTTTACCACTCTGCTTAAAGAAATAAGAGCTGTTTTTGATAAGCAAGGACTGTTGCTCACTGCCGCAGTGTCTTCTGTCAGAGCGGCGGCGACGCAGTCTTACAATGTTGCTGAAATTTCCAAGTAAGTTGTTATATTCTTGGGAGAAAATTTAAACAACATTGATTAGAATACCACAAATTGTTGTTCCGGGTCTGGGTGTCATGTGTATGTGTAATTGTATGTTTGTAACCGCACCCGCGACATAGGAGAAAATCCTAATGTGGGGCAACGGTTCTTTAAGAAAAGAAAAAGAAAAAAAGAAAAAGATTAGATTAATACTAGATTAAAATCTGATTACTCATTGAAATGCCTTTGCAGATTTATAACATGATTTTTTATTGAAAAAAAAACAATTTTCAATTCGATCTAACTTTTCTCACGTAGATAACATTACCTAAAGTACCATAGAACCAACCAACTATGACATAAATACACACTTCACTTCATCTCATTTCATCTTAAAGTGTGTTCACTTTTCAATAACTGTTACTCAATTTCTAGATACTTAGACATGGTACATATAATGACGTACGATATGCATGGATCTTGGGACGCTGTCACTGGCCACAATGCACCTCTTCATCAAGGAGAAGGAGACGAGGATGCGGTTCCAGAAGATCTATTCAATGTGGAACAATCTTTGAACTTCTGGATTGGGGCCGGTAAGACTAAATTTTGGTCCTATTATTAGATATTATTTAGAGCCATGCTTTAGCACGAATGGTCCAGCTCGAACGGAGTGATACAACTGCCTCAAATAATAACAGGGCGAAACAACTCTTGCGTTGAGTTTCGCTGTGTAGTTCAGGTTATCGGAGGGCCAACCTATCGCTAAATCTCCAAAATCCTATTCCCCAAAAGTTCTGCCACACTTAAACCCTATAAAAAAACTTACCTTATATCATTACACGAGTATAATGTAATGAAGCTAAAGACACAAAATAAAAACAGAGACTATTTAAAAACTTATTTATTGATACATATTAAGTTCACGCTCTTGAGCAAGGATCGCTCATTAACATCCATCTATTATGTTCTTTTTACAAAGTATGAAAAATATAATTTACGATCAATTTTTTTCAGGGTGTCCGCCAGAGAAGATAGCCCTCGGTGTTCCATTCTACGGTCGCACATTTACATTGAAGGATGCTAATGAGAATGGTGTGAGGGCCCCTGCGGCAGGTGAAGGGATATCTGGACCTTACACTGCTTCTTCAGGCTACATTGGTTACAACGAGGTAATCCATCTGAAGATATTAATACTAGTCACAAAAAACGTGTTAAAGAAAAAATATCCAAACAGCAGCTATACCCTTTCCTTCTTTAACTTCGATCTCCATAGCCGCATATATAAAAAAACTACCTTCCGCCCGCGTGGTATGTTGATAAAAAGACCTTTGTCCTGTTCCGGAGTGTATCCTATGTATGTGCCAAATTTCATCCAGATCGGTCCAGCCGTTTTGGCGTGATTGAGTAACAAACATCCAAACATTGCAACTTTCGCATTTATAATATTAGTAAGATTAAAAATACTGCACAAGAAGAGTTGAGATATTTACAAAATAAAAAGGAGAAAAACTCAAAGACAACAAGTCCATACATACCTGAACACCTGAACAAAAGAAAACTTTAACAAAGTCAGCCATTACAACCACCATTTTGAATGCGGTAAAAATTGCAACAACACTCATAAAAACTTTGCTGTACAACTAACACGACGGGTCAAAGCAAGCCAACTTTCCATTCAAATGTAGAAGCATACTACATACGTGGCAAAACATCAAAACAATATCCAAGTAGATTCACAGCTCGGTTCAAGTTGTACTATGATGCGGTTCTTCCATTAAACTAAGAAGAAAGGCAACCCACTCATATCCAACTTGTTCTTTACTATGTTTTGCTTCTGGCTTCATATGTGTTCATTTCAAAATCAGAATAGTTTCACTGTCGCTCTAAAATTTGATTGCAAATTCGCCATAAGTCCTTATCTACTGAGAGTAAGTACCTTATCCAGTTAGTGACTGTCTCGAGAAAATAATTACAAACAATTGATTTTCGACAAATAATTGGTACATCACACATCACATTACCCAACAAATAAGTGAACACACACACTAAAATGACCCATAATTATACATTCTTTAGAAAACAAAACTAAAGAAAAGGTGCCCTTAGAAAAAAAGCCAAGATTTAGAAGTTTATAAGAATGTATTTATTTTATTTTGTAAACAGTATTTCTTGTAATAGCAGCATAATTTTTTACATGTCTAACTATCACCATTTATGAGAAACAGCCTTATGACTGACAGATAAAGCAAGACTCATCAATCAATTATTTTAAAACATCTATCTACAAACACCAAACAACATTTTTTATATACATATATACATAGGTACATGTGAAGACAGAAGAAGAACTGACACAAGTTTGAAAACTTCGTCCAACTTCAAAGCTGCAGATGGCATAAATTAAATTTCGGTGTTGCGTTTCACTAGGGCGAGTAAAATTACCTTTGTCGAGTAATCAAGATTATTCAGATTTCTGTTTTACTTAGTTGTTTCTCATGTTACTTGTTAGACGCGCATAGATATGCGCTTTGGTAACTAATATTTATATATCAAAAAGTGAAAAAATACCAGAAAATGTGCTTGTTTCTAAAAAGTTATATGAGTAGTTTCTTTAAAACTCAAAACTCCATCAAATATTTTTGACGAGGGTACATCATAAAATATCTTATGTCGCTCTGGGTGGGACGAGAGAGAGAGAGAGAGATAGAGATAGAGAGAGAGAGTGAAACTCAAACTGTCTAAAAACCACCTCGTTTTTTCTCCTGCTCCAGGTCGAGGACGCGGTACGTTATTGCGCTTGACGCTCAACCCTTGCTGAAACGCTAAAATCTCCTACTTCACTGTCGCAATGTCAGTGATTAGGTTTTAAAACTTCATAATGATAAATCATTATGATACTAATCATTACTAACAATTGTTTCAGTTCTGCCAAAGACTACAAACCGAATCCTGGACGCAACGTTATGACACCCTAGCAAAAGTTCCTTACGCAGTCAAGGGCAAAGATTGGGTCACCTACGATGACGCCAACTCCATTACTGCTAAAGTCAACTATGCCAAGACCTTAGGCATCAATAAAATCATGATTTGGAGCATAGAAACTGATGACTTCCATGGCATTTGTGGTGAAGGGATCAATCCTTTACTTAGTGCTATTAATTCGGCATTGAGAACGGATCAGAAGTAACCACTTTTAGCATTGCTGTTTCTTAGGCGTCAAGATCTACGTCTAAATTGACAAAGAGAATATCTCTCTAAAAAATTTAAAGGGATCAAACTCTTCTGGGGTGTAATTATCAGAAAACATTTAAGTATTATAAGGAAAGTATGTGTTGTTTTAATATTGTAAGAAATTAAGTTTGAATAACCATAAAATAAAGACGTAAGAAACAGTGACTGTGAAACTCTGCTAAAAGTAGAGGCCAATCCTCAAATAAAGAGAAAGTGTGTACATTAATAAGCTGTTATTTTATTTTTGCTTATAATCAGCATCAGCTATAATTCTATACATTTGAATCCTACAGTACCGGCAAGAAAGAATGTAAGAGTTGCAAGTGCGGCCATTTGAGAGTTAAGGATTTGAAAATTGTGGAAATTGGGGATGTATAAGGTTTTGGATCTCCGGTAACCTCACTCACATGGCGAAACACAGCGCTAGTGTTATATCACGTCGGTAATCTATCAGACCGTTTTTACTTGCTATAAACTAGTGCTTGACTACGATCCCACCTGATGGTAAGCAGTGATGCAATCGTTGATGGTAAGACGCACTAGTTTATTAAGAGCCTTTTCACTCTAGCCCTGAAGACACCTAAATTATATTTGAACGGAAAGGCTGCAGCCGGCAGACTGTTCCAATCCCTCGATGTACGCGGTATAAATGATTTATTATCTATCTCCTACACTTGGCGTGGTATTGTTAACTTATTCACAAAATACAGTAAAACTGTATCCAACAAACCAAAAGACTCCTGGCAATTACCATTTGCCTCACACCTAAAATTCTACTCAAAATACATTTTATACGCATACAGCGACAAAATTTTCCTTCCAGTTTCTAGGACGACGACGGTAGTATTTGCTAGCGAATGCATTTCTAACTTATAAAACTGTCATTTTCATACGATCCCCCGAAAAAGGTGTGTAGCGTTCATATAGTTGCATACACCACGTAGGTACTTAAGTGTAAAAGTAAAGGTATTTCTCAGAATTTTACTATACTGGATAACTTTCAAACACAAGTTGATAGGTAATTAAGTGACAAAAAGTACTATAGTTATGGAATTTTTGCTAATCGTTAGTTTACAAGCATATTTAAACTCCAAAAAACTAGGCACCGTCATTAGTAAGACCAGCTTACGGCCTTTCACCAACAAAATGGCTGACCTTGAAAGTATAGGTTAGGCTTAAGTCTAGCAGAAAACGTATTATGGTTGGTGGCTGATAATAAGTGAAAACATTCATTATTCGTTTCCATTCACTTTTAAAGTTAGGAATGCGTACGAGGGCGACGCCCTTTGAACAACTTTAATATTAGTTAAATGTGAGATATCTGCCGGCAACTATCCCTTTATGCTCTGCGAATGTGCACCCAAGGACAACCTCTGGTTGATGCAGCACTATTTTTGCAATATGGGAGCAAACATACCTATATGGTTATGGGTGTGGTGTGGGTGGCTATGGACTGGTAGATATGATAACTATGGAAATACTATAACCCCTGCCCCTGACCAACATTGACACATGCGGATAAACAGGCAGGGGGTGCCTGGCAAACTTAATTGATGGGAGCCTGAAACGGCCGCTAGCATGTAGTGCCAACATGCGTTGTTGCTAGTTATTATTATTATTGATATTTGTTGTGTATTTTTCATTCAAAGGCTATAATTGATACTATCTAAAATAACTCAGTTGCAACCTAAAGATACAGATATCATGTATAAGATTTTTTGTCCCGTTCTTTTCATTCTAACTTGGATATATTTTAGGAAAATTATGTAGCTCATTCAAAAAGGTAATACCCACGTCATGCCCATCGGTAGGTACCTACGTAGGTATACATATACATGTATGCGAGATTTTCGTCACGAACAATTTGTTACAACGTATTATAATGGATGGAGGTGACACCGTAGCTAATACGTATTTTAAATTATATTGAACTATTTTACTGGACAAGTCGGGAAAACTTACTTATTTTTATAAACTCGTTTAGGACTAAAGTATCACTCTGTAAAAGTTTGGCTAGTAGTATACTACTCAATAACAAAATACAGTTGCTCACTTTTTCAATGTATGCATAAATTTTATTTTTTGCCATTGAAAATTCATGTTTTTTATACTGTACTAGCTGCCCGCCCCCGCTTCGCACGGGTCTTACTATCCTTACAACAAAAGGGTCAGTTTTTTTCCAATTTTCCCCCTTTACTTTAGTAATATTTTCTTTGATAAGAACCTTCTCCTGGCCAGAATTAACTAAATTGGTCCAGTTGTTGTTGAGTTATGCGCTTACCAACACATTTTGCGATCCACTTTTATATATATAGATATGACATTTTTAGATAGTATTGTAAAAATTGCAAGCAAAAAAGTAGTGACCTGCACATAATAATCAGTGCAACAATATCACAAAATAAACCCACGACAGATATAACTTACTGTGTCACCACCGTTCTATATTTCGTAAGAATACGCACGATGAGACGGTCTTAAATAACCCTTATTATTGGAGCTATAGGACATAATTTATATTATCTCTTATTATCTTATTTTTGCGATGTGAATTTCTTATATTTTTTATCGTCTCCAAAACGTTTGTCTGAAAGAATTACAATTTTAGTTATATATTTATAGCAGTCGTCTCAAGACTACCAATATTTTAGGAAAATAAAGACTAGGTACTTTAATTTTTAGCAATTAGTTTGAAATAGCCAACCTAACAAGCGTGGTTTGTAATGCTTCTACGTGCAAAAAGAGGCTTTTGCTCAGCAGTGGGCACTTACAGGTAGATCATGACGATGGAGCTTCATCGTCCGCGCAAATAACGGGTCACACGACGCACCTCATGTGTGTAAACGAGGCCTTGAAAACGATCTCTAATTCTTTTATATTGTTTTCTCTATTGTATTACCCTACAAACCTGCATAATACAGAATTGTGTCCTTTGAGACCAACAGCTGATAGACGCTGAATCACTAGCGTTATACACAAGAACACAGCAACACTGTGCCCCAAACTGTCAAGGAACTCCTCAAAACTCATTCCCTGACTTACAAGTTGTAACAAACTCTCAGCACCCTTACTATGATATTTTTACTTTTAGCTATTTTTGTAACCTATATTAATATTATAAAGAGGTAAAATTCATAAGTTTCTTAGTTTGTATGTAGGGGGTAATCTGTGGAACTGCTAGTCGGATTTCAAAAAAATCTTTCACTGATAGATAGCTACAATGTTCCTGAGTGCTATAGGCTATAAAACATTACGCTACGACTAAATGGAGCCGAGCAGCGGGTGAAACCGCGCGAGAGTAGCTAGTCTGATATACTCAGATAAATAATGTAGTTTCGAAAGAAATTCATATAAAAAATCGGTCTATAGAGCACTATTCCCGTACCCATATATAACCTATACACCATATACCTCTTTAAAACATTAAAAGGATTTCGGATTCTTATCTAACCTTCTTTAGTAAAATCACAAAGAACAAACCGTGCTTTGTAGACGAAAATGCCTTCATCTTGGCGGATTTTAAACGCATAGCTGCTACGGCGTAGCAGCACGTAGCGCTCTACATCAGCTACGAATTTCGTAGCAAGTAAACTGTTAAACATCAAGCAGATTTTATACTTTAATTTCTATTGTTTCTCCCCTTCGAGTCCTAACCTACTATTAATAAAAAAAATAAACGAAACAACAACGTAAACAAGGAGTTTTTACGTATAAACTACGAAATGAACATTTTTTTTTTATTTATTTTTATTTATTTATTTAAGTCAGGCATCTGAGGCCCATAGAGAATACAATACATAAATATATTATAACATTAAATCATAAACTAATACATATGTTACATAAAAAAAAAACAAAAAAACTAATGCACACGAAGTGTCGGCGTCGGGTTACGCTGCGTGGTGTCGCGTATTTTGCTTACACTCACAGAGAGTATATTATAATCTGGAATACCATATAAATTACTATTTATAAAAAAAAGATGTACCTACAAGAATTCTTTTCCAGTAGTAGGGGCTCTTATGTGGATCACAGAATTCAAAAACTTCACTCTCACAAGTCGTGAACTCTTACAAATGCTTGTTTTATTACGACCACTTTTTTACTGGTGGCAACACCGTCTAAAAAGTTGCCAGAAGACAAATTTAGGGGACGTGATACTTTTTCGTTATACGTTATTAGGTACAGCTTACAAATACGAATTCTTTGTGATATGCATTAATAATGTGACATTGCTACTGATATACCTAATATATTAATGAGAGAATTATTTACTTTGATATCTGTTCGAGAACTGGAATATTATTCCAAATTTAAAAACGTTACAGTATGAGAACCGACTCAATATCGAAAGGTAATATGTGAAAAAGTATATTTGTGACTTTTAAGAAGAAGGCGGGTTGAACATCACAGGCTTCGTTAGTTAACGAAAATAATTATTTCTTTTAAATGTGGAAGGGCCATGCTTCGGCAAAAATAAGCCGGTTTGACCGGAGTGATAACATGGCCCCACAGAAAACCGGCGTTTGGTAACAATACAACAATACAACACTTACGTTGTATTTCGCCGTATGAGGTTTCAATCCTGCCCCCTCACCCCATCCTCAATCTTCAAATCCCCATCCTTAAATCCATAACAACCCACAAAAGGCCGTCAACGCACTGGTACTACGAGTGTCCATGGTCGGCGCTGATTGCTTACCATCAGGTAACCCCGTAGTCGTATGCCTACCTATGGAATAATAATAATAAAATAAAAACCTTTCTACAACATGGCCATATTTCAATAGTATAAAAATTATGAATATTTTTGTTTTCTTAAATTAAATTTCGAGTTCTTTTACAATTGGACTTATTAAATAAAATGAGGTGTAATAAAATTAATGGTGTTTTATTACTACTAGACTATTTACCTTTAATTTTTAATGAGAAAAATTAATTCACCAAATTGTACTATTTGCAACAAGTAGAAGATAAAACGACATGTACTGATGGAATGAATAGGATTTAAACATCCAGAAAACAGAAAACTGGCGTGAAACAACCACAGCGTTGT